TACTATAAGTGTACTGTAACACTTGTATTACAAGTGTATAGTACTTGTACTATTCACTCGTAAACCTCTATCCTGTCACTCCTAACTCTTCGCCTTTCCAGTGAATGCAACTTAAGCTTTGCATTCATATGAAATCTTTCTTCATATGAAAGATTTCTAATTTTGGGAATTAACTTAGTCATCCTACGCTGGACACGTTCAAGTGAATTTATATCCATTCCATAGTACGACGACCAAAACTGAAGTGCATAATCTAAATAGGGCAAAACCAGAGCTAGATATAGCTGAAAAACCACACCAAGATGTTACTCCTCTTCTACCTTCTTATGAGCTTGCTATGCTTCTAAATTCTAATGAGCTTGCTCTGCTTCTAACGTCATATGATCTTGCTGTGCTTCTAACTTCTTATGAGTTTGTCCTGCTTCTAACTTCTAACGAGCTTACTTTGCTTCTAACTGCAGATGAGCTTGCTCTGCATCTAACTTCAAATAAGCTTACTCTGTTTCTAACTTCTTATGAGCTTTCTCTGCTTCTAACTTCTATTGAGCATACTCTGCTTCTAAATTCATATGAGTTTGCTCTGCTTCTAACTTCTTATGAAGTTACTCTGCCTCTAACCTGTTTTGAGCTTACTCTGCCTCTGACATCTTATGAGCTTGATCTTAATTTATTTTCTTATGAGCTTGCTCTGCTTCTAACTTCTTATGACCTTGGTTTGCTTCTAACTTCTTATGGGCTTGATTTTCTTCTAACGTGTTATGAGCTTGCTCTGCTTCTAACTTTTTAGGAGGTCACGCTGCCTGTAACTTTTTATGAGTATGCTCTGCTTCTAACTTTTTAGGAGGTTATTCTGCCTATTACTTCTTATAAGCTTGCTTGCTATGTTCATATGTTCTTAGCAGGCTTCTCTTCCTCTAACTTCTTTGAAGCTAACTCTGCCTCTAACTTCATATAAGTTTGCTCTGCTTCTAACTTCATAAGAGCTTGTTCTGCTTCTAACTTCATATGAGCTTGATCTGCTTCTATCTTCTTATGAGCTGATTCTGCTTCTAAGTTCATATGAGCTTGCTATGCATCTAACTTCATGTGAGATTGGTCTGCTTCTAACGTGTTGTTAGTTTATTCTGCTTCTAACGTCTTACAAGCTTGCTCTGCTTAAAATTTCTTATGAGTTTGCTCTGCCTCCAAATTCTTATTAGCTTACTCTGCTTCTAACTTCTTATCAGCTTGCTCTGCTTCTGAGTGTTTTTTTTATGAGTGTTCTCTTCCTCTAACTTCGTATGAGCTTACTCAGCTTGTAACTCCATATATGTGCTTAATCTTCTTTTAACTTTTTATGAGCTTACTCTGCTTTTAACTTCTTATGTGCTTACGTTGCTTCTAACTTCTTATGAGTTTACTCTGCTTCTAACTTTTAACGAGTTTGCTCTGATTTTAACGTCTTATGAGCTTGCACTTCTACTAAAGTCTTATGAGTTTGCTCTGATTCTAAATTCCTACAAGCTTACTCTGCTTGTAACTTCTTATGAGCTTGCACTGCTTCTAACTTCATATAAGCTTACTTTGTTTCTAACTTCTTATGAGCTTGGTTTGCTTACAACTTCATATGAGCTTACTCTACTTCTAACATCATTAGAGCTTACTTTGCTTCTAACTTCTAAGGAGATTACTCTGCCCCTAGCTTCTTATGAGCTTGATCTGCATCTCAATTCTTATGAGCTTACTTACCTTTTAACTACTTATGATCTTACTCTGCTTCTAATTTCATATGAGCTTAATTTTCTTCTAACTTCTTATGATCTTACACGGCTTCTAACTTCATATGGGCTTGCTCTGCTTCTAACTTCGAAGGAGGTTCCTATGCGTCTAACTTCTTATGACCTTGCTCTGCTTCAAACGTTATATGATCTTGCTATGCTTTCAACTTCTTAGGAGGTTGTTCTGCTTCTAAGTTCTTAGGAGGTTGTTCTGCTTCTTACCCCTGATGGGCTTGCTCTGCTCCTGAATTTTTAGGAGGCTTCTCTGCCTCTAACTTCTTTTCAGCTAACTCTTCTTCTAAGTTCTTATGAGCCTGCTCTGCTTCTAACTTTTCAAGAGTTTACTCTGCTTCTAACTTTGTATTAACTTGCACTGCTTCTAAATTCTTATGAACAATATCTGCTTCTAACTTCAAATGAGCTTGTTCTGCTTCTAACTTCATATGTGCTTTCTCTGCGTCCAACTTAATATGAGCTTACTCTCCTTCTAACTTCTTATGAGCTTGGTCTGCTTCTAACTTAATATGAGCTTGCTCTGCTTCTAACTTCACTTGAGCTTGATCTGCTTCTAACTTTTCATGATCTGACTCTGCTTCTAAGTTTGTTCATATGAGCTTGCTTCTAAGTTTGTTCATATGAGCTTGCTTCTAAGTTTGTTCATATGAGCTTGCTTCTAAGTTTGTTCATATGAGCTTGGTCTGCTTCTATCATCTTATATGCTTGCTCTGCTTCTAACTTCTTAGGAGGTCACTCTGCCTCTAACTTCTTATGAGCTTGCCCCTACTTCTAACTTTTTATGATCTTAGTCTGTTTCTAACTTTGTATGAGCTTGCTCTGATTCTAACTTCTTATGAGCAACTCTGCCTCTAACTTCATATGAGCATGCTCTCCTTCTAACTTCATAAGGGCCTGCTGTGCATCAAACGTCTTATGAGCTTGCTCTGCTTCTAATTTCTTACGAGATTACTCTGTTTCTAACTGCATATGAGCTCTCTCGGCATCTAACTTCATATGAGATTGCTCTGCTTTTAACTTCTTATGAGCTTGCTATGCTTCTAATTTCTATTGAACTTACTCTGCTTCTAAATTCATATGAGCTTGCTCTGCTTCTAACTTCTTAGGAGGTTACTCTGCCTAAACATCTTATGAGCTTACTCTTTTGCTATCTTCTTATGAGCTTTCTATGCCTCTAACTTCTTATGAGCTAACTCTGCTTCTAACTTCTTATGAGCTAACTCTGTTTCTAACTTCAAATGAGCATGCTCTGCTTATAACTTCATAAGAGTTTGCTGTGCATCTAACTACTTATGAGGTTGCTCTGCTTCTAACTTCAATTGAGCTTACTCTGCTTCTAACTTCATATGAGTTTGCTCTGCTTATAACTCGTTAGGAGGATACTCTGCCTCAAACCTCGTATGAGCTTACTCTTCATCTGACTTCTTATGAGCTTGCTATGCTTCTAAATTCTTATGAGTTTGCTCTTCCTCTAACTTCATATGAGCTTATTCTGATTGTAACTCCATATGTGCTTAATCTTCTTCTAACTTTTATGAGCTTACTCTGATTTTACCTTTTTATGCACTTACTAAACTTCTAAATATTTATGAGTTTACTCTGCTTCTAACTTCTTATGAGCTTAGTCTGCATTTAACTTCCTATGAGTTTACTCTGCCTCTAACTTCTTATGAGCTTATTTTGCTTCTAATTTCTTATGAGCTTGCTCTGCCTCTAACATATTATGAGTTGGCTCTGCCTCTAACTTCATTTGAGCTTATACTGCTTCTAACTTCATGTGTGCTTTCTCGGTTTCTAACTTCATATGAGCTTACTCTGCTTCTAACGTTTAATGAGCTTGCTCTGCTTCTAACCTCTTATAAGCTTGCACTGCTACTAAATTCAAATAAGCTTGCTTTGATTTTAACTTCTTATGAGCTTGCTCAGCTTGTAACTTCATATGAGCTTACTCTGTTTTTAATTTCTTATGAACTTGCTCTGCTTTTAACTTCATATGAGCTTACTCTGCTTCTAACTTCATAAGAGCTTCCTTTGCTTCTAACTTCAAAGGAGGTTACTCTTCCCCTAACTGCTTATTAACTTCACCTGCATCTCAATTCTTATGAGCTTATTTACCTTTTAACTACTTATGATCTTGCTCTGCTTCTAACTTCATATGAGCTTAGTTTTCTTCTAACTTCTTACGATCTTACTCTGCTTCTAACTTCATATGGGCTTGCTTTGCTTCTAACTTCGAAGAAGGTTCCTCTGCATCTAACTTCTTATGAGCTTGTTTTTCTTCTAACATCATATGATCTTGCTATGCTTCTAACTTCATGTTAGCTTACTATGCTTCTAATTTCAAATGAGCTTGTTCTGCTTCTTACCTCTTTTGAGCTTGCTCTGCTTCTAAATTCTTATGAGCTTGCTCTGCTTCTAACTTCATATATTAACATGTTCTGCTTCTAAATTCTTTAGAACTTATTCTGCTTCTAACTTTTTATGAGCCTACTCTGCTTCTAACTTCATATGAGCTTGCATTGCCTCTAACTTCTTATGAGCTTACCCTGCTTCAAACATCTTATGAGCTTGCTATGCTTCTAACTTCTCATGAGCTTCCTCTGCTTCTAATTTCTTAGGATTTTACTCTGCCTCTAACTTCTTATGAGATAACTCATCTTCTAACTTCTTTTGAGCTTGCTCTGCTTATAACTTCATATGAGCTTGCTCTTCTCCTATCTTTTTTGGAGGCTTCTACGCCTCTAACTTCTTTTGAGCTAACTCGGCTTTTAACTTCTTATGAGCTTGCTATGCTTCTAACTTAATGAGCTTACTCTGCTTCTAACTTCTTATGAGCTTGATCTGCTTCTAACTACTTATGATTTAGCTCTGCTTCTAACTTCATATGAGCTTGCTCTACTTCTAACTTCATATAAGCTTGATCTGCTTCTAATTTTTTATGAGCAAACTCTGCTTCTAACTTCTTATGAGCTTACTCTGCTTCTAACTTCTTATGATCTTGCTCTGCTTTTAACTTAATATGAGCTTGCTCTGCTTGTAACTTGATATACCCTTGATCTGCTTCTAACTTAATATGAGCTGACTCTGCATCTAAGATCGTTCATATGAGCTTGGTCTGCTTCTATCGTCTTATAAGTTGCTCTGCGTCTAACTTCTTAGGAAGTCACTCTGCCTCTAACTTCTTATGAGCTCACTCTGCTTCTAACTTCTTATGAGTTTTGTCTGCTTCTAATTTTTATGAGCTTGCTCTACTTCTAACTTTTTATGAGCTTGCTCTACTTCTAACTTCTTATGAGCTAACTCTGCTTCTAACTTCATATGAGCATGCTCTGCTTTTAACTTCATAAGAGCTTGCTTTGCATCAAACTTCTTATGAGCTTGCTCTGCTTAGAATTTCTTACGAGCTTACTCCTTTTCTTACTGCATATGACCTTGCTCGGCATTTAACTTCATTTGAGCTTGCTCTGCTTCTAACTTCTTATGAGCTTGCTCTGCTTCTAGCTTCTATTGTTCCTACTCTGCTTCTAACTTCATATGAGCTTGCTCTGCTTGTAACTTCTGAGGAGGTTACTCTTCCTCTAATTTCTTATGAATTTGATCTGTTTATAATTTCATATGAGCTTCCTCTGCTTATAACTTCTTAGGAGGTTACTCTGCCTCAAACCTCTTATGAGCTTACTCTGCTTCTAACTTCATATGAGCTTGCTCTCTCACTAACCTTTTATGAGCTTGCTCTGATTCTAAATTCTTTTGAGTGTGCTCTGCTTCAAACTTTATATGAGATTGCTCTGTTCTATCTTCTTAGGAGGTTTCTCTTCCTATAACTTCTTATGAGCATGCTCTGCTTCTAACTTCATATGAGCTTGCTCTGACACTAACATCTTATGAGCTTGATATGATTTTATTATCTGATGAGCTTGCTCTGCTTCTAACTTTTTATGAGCTTGGTGTGCTTCTAATTTCTTATGATTTTGCACTGCTTCTAACTTCTTATGATCTTGCACTGCTTCTAACTTCATATGAGTTTTGTTTGCTTCTAACTTTATATGAGCTTGGTCTGCTTCTTACTTCTTATGAGCTTGCTCTTCTTCTAACTTCATATGAGCCTCCTGGAACTACCTCTGCCCTGTCTACGTATTGCTGTAACTTTTTTAGTTCCCGTTCTGCCTTCAACTGCCTCTGAATCTGAGACTCCAAACTTCCTGCGACTACTGTATTTGCACTTCTGGTGGGCGGGGACTGCTGTAGAATCTCTTTTGGGAGCATGAGCTCATCAACCTCTCTGAGTCATTATTGCTCCCAACTGTTTCGTTTTAACCATACCCATGTATAATGGTAAAGTATAGTGCTTGCCCTCAGCAACTAGGCTTGATTTTTGTTTCCTGCTCTACACTGGGGTTCTCAACAATTTGCTCTGCTAATTTATCCATGTTTACCTTTGGAGAAAAACGCCAAACTAGAATTCATAATTTAAGCTTCACCACTACCTGTATTCTAACCATACTGAACTGACAATTAGTTTAGAAAGAACTAATGATGACAATGTTTGGTCAACTTGACTGCCCTTTAAACTGATAAGTTGAGCACTTAAGAATACACAGGTAATAAAAATCCTGAGAAATCTTGCAAATTTAATGAAATAAACATAAATATTAATATACATCAAATGCACAGATCACTTAAAGGTATACAATTATTTGTCACTTCACTTCCTAAACACCTGGCTCCGGGAAAGGTAACCCAAAACACGTCTATTATGTCTAGTCTCGGCTCCCAGACAGAAATTTAACAGAACATGTGATATCAAGGATTCTAGCATTAATCTTCTAAATTTTCTTGTGTTTTTTTACTTGAGAAGAAAATTTAAAAATGAACTCTCCAAAGTTCATTTTACAATTTTAATAAATCCTGAAGCGAAAAGATGCATTTCGTTGACCCTTGTTAACATTATCAAATGCTGAGTTCGAATCGTTAAAAAAATTTCCTGATAAAAAAAAAAATATATATATATATATATATATATATATATATATATATATATATATATATATATATATATATATATATATATATATATATATATATATATATATATGTCGTACCTAGTAGCCAGAACGCACTTCTCAGCCTACTATGCAAGGCCTGATTTGCCTAATAAGCCAAGTTTTCCTGAATTAATATATTTTCTCTAATTTTTTTCTTATGAAATGATAAAGCTACCCATTTCATTATGTATGAGGTCAATTTTTTTTTATTGGAGTTAAAATTAACGTAGATATATGACCGAACCTAACCAACCCTACCTAACCTAACCTAACCTATCTTTATAGGTTAGGTTAGGTTAGGTAGCAGAAAAAGTTAGGTTAGGTTAGGTTAGGTAGGTTAGGTAGTCGAAAAATCAATTAATTCGTGAAAACTTGGCTTATTAGGCAAATCGGGCCTTGCATAGTAGGCTGAGAAGTGCGTTCTGGCTACTAGGTACGACATTATATATATATATAGTGGTGGTAGGTAGGTGGTACCACCCCCCTATATATATATAGGGGGTGGTAGGAGAAAAACACACAGAAACTGTATCGGAGGGGATCTAAACATTCCCTCTAATGCGTTATGCGTGGTTTCCTCCGAGGCTATGGGTCCCCCTTCTTCCAGCTAGAGGTGGTACTCCCTTTATATATATATATATATATATATATATATATATATATATATATATATATATATATATATATATATATATGTCGTACCTAATAGCCAGAACGCACTTCTCTGCCTACTATGCAAGGCCCGATTTGCCTAATAAGCCAAGTTTTCATGAATTAATGTTTTTTTCGACTACCTAACCTACCTAACCTAACCTAACTTTTTCGGCTACCTAACCTAACCTAACCTATAAAGATAGGTTAGGTTAGGTTAGGTAGGGTTGGTTAGGTTCGGTCATATATCTACGTTAATTTTTACTCCAATAAAAAAAATTGACCTCATACATAATGAAATGGGTAGCTTTATCATTTCATAAGAAAAAAATTAGAGAAAATATATTAATTCAGGAAAACTTGGCTTATTAGGCAAATCGGGCCTTGCACAGTAGGCTGAGAAGTGCGTTTTGGCTACTAGGTACGACATATATATATATGTAATATATATATATATATATATATATATATATATATATATATATATATATATATATATATATATATATATATATATATATGGATAAGATGAAAGTGAAGTACCTCACTTATGGACCAATTGGGCTACTGCAGTTTGTCACTGCATTTGTTGATTATTTTGGTGTTGTTAGTCAGGATATCTCTGATGATGATCTGGTTATGTATAGAGACCATGTATGTTCCCTGACAGGGCTTTGCTGTTTATGCATTGTTGTGTTCGTTGAAAATCATATGTGGTTGGTTTTGTTGTTATTTTGCTAATATATAGAAGTGGGTTGGGCTGACAGTCCCCGAGTGTACATGTGAACGCTTTGATGACATTTGTTCGTTTCAATGGGATTTTGTTTGGTGTCAGGAGAGTATTCGAGAGAAAGTTGGTAGTCTTCTTGCTCTTATAGTATATAAAATGGGGGTAGCCAGCATTGCCAAGGTCTGTTTGTCTCCCATCCCTCTATCTATCTATCCATCCATCCATCTACCTGTATATTTATCTATCCATCCATCTATATTTATCTATCCATCCATCTATATTTAACTATCCATCCATCTACCTGTATATATATCGATCCATCCATATATATTTATCTATCCACCCATTTATATTTATCTATCCATCCATTTATATTTATCTATCTATCCATTTACATTTATCTATCCATCCATCTATATTTACATATACATCCATCCTTCCATTTATCTATCCATCCATCTATTTAACCATCCAATTATCCATCCATCTATCTATACATATATTTATCCATCTATCTTTAAATATATTTATCCATCTATCTTTAAATATATTTATCATCTATCTTTAAATATATTTATCCATCTATCTCTCCATCTATCTTTCAACCTGTCTTTCTATATCTCTATCCAAATATCTATTTTATCCATATATCCCGCTATTTATCCATGTGGCCATCTATCCATCCATATATCCATCTATCTATCAAACTATTCATCCAACAATCTACACATCCATCCATATACCTATCCGTCCATTCATCTACCCCTCTACCTATCTATCTACTTATCCATCCATCCATCTATCCATCCATCTATCTATCAATCTATCCATCGACCATCTATCCATCAAACCATATTGCTTTGTATCCTTTCTGTCCATCTGTGTATCAGTTCATCCATCGATCCATCCATTTATATATCCATCAATTTTCCTATCTATCCATTTATGTATCCGTTTATCTTCCAGTCCATCAATCTATCAATCCATCCATCCATCTTTCCATCTTTCCATTAATCTATCCATCTATCCACTCACCTATCCATACATCTACTCATCTGCATATCCATCCAGTTACCACCATCCGTCTACAATCTATCTGTCTTCCATCTCTCCTTCCATCTATGTACTGTCTGTCTCTGTATATCTGTTTCTGTGTCGTTCTCTGTATGTCTGTTTGTCTCTGTCTTTATCTCTCTGTCTATCTGTCTCTCTCGCTCATACAATATATAATTGTGTAAAATGTAGGCGGTGGCCAGTGAGAGAAGGTTTGAGGAGTGCAATTCTCAGAAAAGAGTGGTTGCCCCTTACTTTGCTAAAGGACTCTAGCTTGATAAACATTTTAAGATGGGGAAGAATCTTGTGTTTTATGCCAGTACGGGCAAATTATTGACAGCAGAAAGTTTCTGATCATTTTCTGTTAGAGATTAGTGAATAATGGTGCATAAGAAAAATTTATTTTGAGAAGCTTGTTTTGAAAATAATAACTGTGTAGCTGGCGAGCAGTACCAAAAATCGTCGTAGGGTCTGAATTTGGCCCTGGCACGTTGTTTCCTTTTTTGAAATCAGGTGAACCCGACCAGACTACGTTCATTCCATACCACAGACCATTCCCTCTGTCAGTTTGGCTGATGCTAGCTAGTCCAAGCGCGTGGGCTCCAACTTCGAGCAGACAGGCAGACATAGATAAACAGACAAAAATTCCTATTCTCTGACTGTATTGATTATTAATTCGATCTTGCAGTTGGTGTTGGTAGGAGTTACATTTCTCTCAATAATGTTTTGAAAGATTCTCTCTTCCGTTCTGTGAGCCATACAGAAGTTCCAGAAAAATATTTTAAAAGTAGGGGGTCGGTAATGTACAATTGTCAGTCTGGTTTGAGGTTTCATGGCGAAATACCTTCCTTTTAATGATTTCTTCGACGTTTTGTTAGAGTATCCATTACTGACTAGGACCTGCCTTGCTCTACCAACTTCCTCGGACACCTGCTTTCAACTGGAACTGTGTGAAGACACGGTTGACATAGGCATTATACACAACCTCAGTGTAGGTTGCAGTCTGAAGTCCACAATTCCTTTCTAAGATTGTTACATATAAGAAAGTTAGTCTACCTCAAGTCTATCTCATAAGTGAACATTAGAACTGAGTGAGGTGTCTCACCTTCACCTCATCTCCGGTTATATATCAAACAGCACAAAAACATGTTATCCTTCAATCTTTGCCTTTGATAATGACGGCAAGGGTCAGAGAAACGCATCTCTTAACATCAGGAGTTAATAAATTAGTTTTATGAGCTTTAATGAGCCCATACATATATGGCAAAGATTGTGAACAAGTCTTAAGTTTAGTGACAAATTCATTATCTTCTATTAAACACTTTACGGCTTTGTTGAAATGAGCATTGACATTTTTAAATTGGGTCGCTCCTAATTGTTATGTAAGTGTTTATCACACTGAACAAGTCTTAAATTTTATTAACATGTTCAGTTTTGTTCACGATGACAACAGCATTCGGCTTATCATCATAAGTGTAAAAGAAACATATATGTTTAGGATTTTCAAATATTTAATAAATTTATAAGGGCACTTGGGAGCAGCGCGGTATATAGAGAACTATTGACAGCACCCATGAATAATATGAATAACATGAAACATAAATAACAAATAATATGAATAACATGAAACATGAATAACAAATAACATGAAATGAAGCATCAGTGTTCTTCTAAAGAATACAAATATCCTTTGCTACATTGATAAAATTCACTTTTATATTTTAATTAGACAAAATCAAACACTACACTAATGTAGAAAGAATATTTATTTAATAATAAGTAAGAGGGGTAAGGAGAGATATTAAATTATATAGGAAAAAATATAATTATTAAATAGGGATGTAAGACTGCAGTAAAAATATATATTTGATAAAGGATCTCAAAAGACTTTATGACTTCTAAGTGCTGACGTCACACACGTAAGACTACGGAGTGCTGACGTCACACACGTAAGACTACGGAGTGCTGACGTCACACACGTAAGACTTCTAAGTGCTGACGTCACACACGTAAGACTACTGAGTGCTGACGTCACACACGTAAGACTACTGAGTGCTGACGTCACACACGTAAGACTACTGAGTGCTGACGTCACACACGTAAGACTACGGAGTGCTGACGTCACACACGTAAGACTACTGAGTGCTGACGTCACACACGTAAGACTACTGAGTGCTGACGTCACACACGTAAGACTACGGAGTGCTGACGTCACACACGTAAGACTACTGAGTGCTGACGTCACTCACGTAAGACTACTGAGTGCTGACGTCACTCACGTAAGACTACTGAGTGCTGACGTCACACACGTAAGACTACTGAGTGCTGACGTCACACACGTAAGACTACGGAGTGCTGACGTCACACACGTAAGACTACTGAGTGCTGACGTCACACACGTAAGACTACTGAGTGCTGACGTCACTCACGTAAGACTACTGAGTGCTGACGTCACACACGTAAGACTACTGAGTGCTGACGTCACATACGTAAGACTACTGAGTGTTGACGTCACACACGTAAGGCTACTGAGTGCTGACGTCACACACGTAAGACTACTGAGTGCTGACGTCACACACGTAAGACTACTGAGTGCTGACGTCACACACGTAAGGCTATTGAGTGCAGACGATGCATTCATAAGACTATTGAGTGCAAACGATGCATTCATAAGACTATTGAGTGCAGACGATGAATGCGTAAGACTATTGAGTGCAGACGATGCATACATAAGACTATTGAGTGCAAACGATGCATTCATAAGACTATTGAGTGCAGACGATGAATGCGTAAGACTATTGAGTGCAGACGATGAATGCGTAAGACTATTGAGTGCAGACGATGCATACATAAGACTATTGAGTGCAGACGATGCATACATAAGACTATTGAGTGCAGACGATGCATACAAAGACTGTTGAGTGCAGACGATGCATACAAAAGACTGTTGAGTGCAGACGATGCATACAAAAGACTGTTGAGTGCAGACGATGCATACAAAAGACTGTTGAGTGCAGACGATGCATACAAAAGACTGTTGAGTGCAGACGATGCATACATAAGACAATTGAGTGCAGACGATGTTTACTCAAGACTACCGAGTGGAGCCTCACACAGGTAAGACAACTGAGTACATACGTTATTCAGTTTCACACACACACACACACACACACACACACACACACACACACACACACACACACACACACACACACACACACACACACACATAGGGGCCTCGTAGCCTGGTGGATAGCGCGCAGGACTCGTAATTCCGTGGCGCGGGTTCAATTCCCGCACGAGGCAGAAACAAATGGGCAAAGTTTCTTTCACCCTGAATGCCCCTGTTACCTAGCAGTAAATAGGTACCTGGGAATTAGTCAGCTGTCACGGGCTGCTTCCCGGGGTGTGGTGTGGAAAAAAAAAGTAGTAAACAGTTGAGAGGCGGGCCGAAAGAGCAAAGCTCAACCCCCGCAAAACACAACTAGGCGAACACACACACACACCTCTTAGACCGTTGAGAGGCGGAACCAAAGAGCCAGAGCTCAACCCTCGCAAGCACAATTAGGTAAGTACACATACGCACACACACCACACACACGCGCACGAAGGCACCCTGAATGCAGTGTGTATTTCTCCTCTCTATCGCCACACTGAGGCGCTGGAAAAGGAAGCTGGCAGCTATAGGGTTCTCTTGTTGTTTCAATTAGCCTAGAACCCAGTTCCTTAAAAAAAACTGGTGGCACTCTTACCCCAGGCGCCGAGTGTCTCAGAAGCATTGGGGACAAAATTGTAGTGGTGATCCAGCTCTCTGTACTTACGGGATTTGGCTGATTCCCTGTGAGTTGCAGCGCCACCTGGTTGTGCAACACTCAAATCAGTGTAGGTGTTAGCCAGGGTTGATACGCACGTGTATTCCCACACCAACTGCTTGCCATTTTTCCAGGCGTTCACAGTGATACCATCTGGGTGACTAATAAGAGCATCAGAGTTATGGGGTGTTAGGTAATGAGGCTCTCTCTCGGCTGGGCATACAGCTGTGGTAAGACTCCTCTTGATGATGTCGTTAACTTCACTGTGTCTCGAGTGCCATCCCCCTGTGCTTTGGCAGAGCAGACCATGGTGACCGTACCTGTCAGCCACCACCTCGCCCCAAATACACCAATATTTGGTGTGGATTGGGGCAGCAAGGCGGAGGGCCACAGCAATTCAGAGGGCGTGTGGTGCAAGACGTGTGCCAGACATTGGGGTTGCTTACAGAAAATCCTCTGCATATGGGGCTGCTGCTGCTGCTGTGAGGCGAGCAATGTCGTGTTGTGTTGTTGCAGCACCCAGGCACTCTGCAGCAACTTGGTCTACAATGGGGCCATCCCAGCTGGATTGCTTGTGGGCTTTTGAGGATGGTGGTTAAGGTGATGCGCCTGCAAGAGAGGCCCACTCTGTGGCACAGCGTATAAAATTGGAATCGTGTACACCTGCCAGCTGATGTAAGTATGCAGGTAGAATTTCCTTCACAAGATCATCGGATACTGAGGACAGGAAGGCTGGTACAGCGATTTGCGTTGTTGTTCTAACTCCGAGGCCCCCAAGTCTTACTGGAAGAGAAGCTTGTTTCCACTGTAGGTCATCAAGAGAGAGGTTGAGGGGTTTCTCTAACATTGATTTCAGTAACAGGACATGTGCACCTAGTTTTTGGCTACTGTAGGATGGTGAACACCAGAAAGTAGGTTAACCTGGAGAGGGACAGGCATCTGGTGATGAGGACGGGAAGGACTATTCATCATGAGCATCAATATCCTCAATCCACCCATCCATCCTGTTAAGGTCGGCGATTTTCTTATCAAGGACCTCATCGATGACTTTCAGCCCCAGGGGTTGCTCCTAGGAGTGTGCTATCTTCAGGTTTAGTTATATGAATATTTGGCAGAACACCCTCTATTCTCCCTATGATGCCCTGGTTGGAACATATTATTTCACACTTGGAAGGGGTTTTATTATATTCAATATAATATAATAAAAATATTTAAAATAAACCAACTGGAAACATTTTATTGAAAATAAAGAAAATCACTCGGCCTATTAGGCATATCGGGCATTCTATAGTAGGCCGAGAAGTACGTTATGGCTACTAGGTACGACAATAAATAATCATATTATTTGCTCATGAAGCAGAGTTGATGAGGCTTCCTTAAGACTTGTTCATTAAATATTCATATTATTTACTCATGTAGCAGTTGATGAGGCTTCCTTACGACTTGTTCAATAAATAATCATATTATTTACTCATGTAGCAGAGTTGATGAGGGGGGGGGGGGATTAAGAAGGCGTTCCACGGCATGCTCTAGCCAAGGCACCGCCGGAATGTTTGTGGTTCAGTGGAATCTTGACTTGAATTTGGTTAAATATGTAATTAGCACTCATAAACTATTGACCAAATGCATATACCACAATCCTCCACTCATTTGTATGTAGAATAAATAATTTTCTTTGCAATCCTTTTCTCGTCTAACTTTTATATTGAAAATTGGGATTCCATTTTACACATATTCTGGAGAAAAACAAAATTCTGGTTAACGCTTCGCATCCCACTGAATGTGAGAAGCAGGGATATATTGTATGTATATCTTGGATAACAATAATTTTGGTAGTTTTATTCAATAAAATCGTCAAATATATACTACGACGAAACATTTGAACCATGATGACTTCTTCATCTTATAATCCACGGGAACATGTAGTGTCACATTATATATTGATATAGAGGCGATCGTTACCGGTGTAGAGAACGCATTATATATTGGTTCCCCCCATCCCAGATGTTGGCCTCCCTCTTCTGAGGTGTTGAACTAGCTTTCCTACGGGATGCCAACACCCCACTCAATAGAGTTCCATACAGAATCACCATGGAAGTTGTACTTTATTGGAACATTGCAGCAGCCTCTGAGAGAGGTATACTGGATAGTAATGGGAGCACTGCCTGACGTGTCTCTTTGTGACAACCATTGCTGCTGACCAACCACTGATCCGTTGCCTACTCTGTAAACAGAAAAATAAATATTAACAATTCAATGCAGAAAAGATAATTAAAAATAAAATGACTAACAATACCAATTATGTTCTCTATCTAGCCGGAAAGTTAATGTGTTAAAAAATCCGAGTACGTTTTATACATTTTTGTATCTGAATTGTATATTTTTTTAGTGTTTTTTTATTCATATGTATAATCATCGTATTTTTCAATCATCATCATCTCCTCTGTGTATTTTGTCGCGTGGCTGTGAATGCACTCGATGAGTTGCCTGTTGCAGATGTTGTAGCTGCATACCTGCATGATGTAGATATAGCAGTTGCACAGTTGCATGTTGTAGCTGCAGAGTTGAATGTTGTAGCTGTAGAGTTGCATGTTATAGATGTTGTAGCTGCATAGTTGCATGTTATAGCTATTGTAGCTGCAGAGTTGCATGTTGTATATGTTGTAGCTGTAGACTTGCATGTTATTGATGTTGTAGCTGCAGAGTTGCATGTTGTAGCTGTAGAGTTGCATGTTATAGATGTTGTAGCTGCAGAGTTGCATGTTGTATATGTTGTAGCTGTAGACTTGCATGTTATTGATGTTGTAGCTGCAGAGTTGCATGTTGTAGCTGTAGAGTTGCATGTTATAGATGTTGTAGCTGCAGAGTTGCATGTTGTATATGTTGTAGCTGTAGAGTTGCATGTTATTGATGTTGTAGCTGCAGAGTTCCATGTTATAGATGTTGTAGCTGCAGAGTTGCATGTTGTATATGTTGTAGCTGTAGAGTTGCATGTTATTGATGTTGTAGCTGCAGAGTTGCATGTTGTATATGTTGTAGCTGTAGAGTTGCATGTTATTGATGTTGTAGCTGTAGAGTTGCATGTGATAGATTTTGTAGCTGCACAGTTGCATGTTATAGATGTTGAAGCTGTAGAGTTGCATGTTGTAGCAGCAGAATTGCATGTTGTAGCTATAGAGTTGCATGTTATAGATGTTGTAGCTGTAGAGATGCATGTTGTAGATGATGTAGCTGTAGAGTTGCATGGTGGAGCTGCAGAATTGCATGATGTAGCTGCAGAGTTATATGTTGTAAATGTTTTAGTTGTAAAGTTGCATGCTGTAGAAGTTGTAGGTGCAAAGTTGCATGTTGTAGATGTTGTAGCTAAAAAGTGTCATGTTGTAGATGTTGTAGTTGCAAAGTTGCATGTTGTAGATGTTGTAGCTGCAGAGTTGCATGTTGTAGATGTTGTAGCTAAAACGTTGCATGTTGTAGATGTTGTAGTTGCAAAGTTGCATGTTGAAGTGGCAGAGATGCATGTTGTAGCTGCAGAGTTGCATGTTGTAGCTGCAGAGTTGCATGTTGTAGCTGTAGAGTTGCATGTTGTAGCTGCAGAGTTGCATGGTGTAGCTGCAGCGTTGCATGTTGTAGCTGCAGAGTTGCATGTTGTAGCTGCAGAGTTGCATGTTGTAGCTGCAGAGTTGCAAGTTGTAGTTGCAGAGTTGCAAGTTGTAGCTGCAGAGTTGCAAGTTGTAACTGCAGAGTTGCATGTTGTAGCGGCAGAGTTGCAAGTTGTAGCTGCAGAGTTGCATGTTGTAGCTGCAGAGTTGTATGTTGTAGCGGCAGAGTTGTATGTTGTAGTGGCAGAGTTGCATGTTGTAGCTGCAGAGTTGCATGTTGTAGCTGCAGAGTTGTATGTTGTAGCGGCATGTTGTAGCTGCAGAGTTGCATGTTGTAGCTGCAGAGTTGCATGTTGTAGCTGCAGAGTTGCATGTTGTAGCTGCAGAGTTGCATGTTGTAGCTGCAGAGTTGCATGTTGTAGCTGCAGAGTTGCATGTTGTAGCTGCAGAGTTGCATGTTGTAGCTGCAGAGTTGCGTGTTGTAGCTACAGAGTTGCATGTTGTAGAGGCAGAGTTGCGTGTTGTAGCTGCAGAGTTGCATGTTGTAGTGGCAGAGTTGCATGTTGTAGCGGCAGAGTTGCATGTTGTAACTGTAGAGTTGCATGTTGTAGCAGCAGAGTTGCATGTTGTAGCTGAAGAATTGCATGTTGTAGCTGCAGAGTTGCATGTTTTAGCTGCAGAGTTGCATGTTGTAGCTGCAGAGTTGTATGTTGTAGCGGCAGAGTTGCATGTTGTAGCTGCAGAGTTGTATGTTGTAGCTGTAGAGTTGCATGTTGTAGCTGCAGAGTTGTATGTTGTAGCGGCAGAGTTGCATGTTGTAGCTGCAGAGTTGTATGTTGTAGTGGCAGAGTTGCATGTTGTAGCAGCAGAGTTGCATGTTGTAGCGTCAGAGTTGAATGTTGTATCTGCAGAGTTGCATGTTGTATCTGCAGAGTTGCATGTTGGAGCGACAGAGTTGCATGTTGTAGCTGCAGAGTTGCATGTTGTAGCGGCAGAGTTGCATGTTGGTGCGACAGAGTTGCATGTTGTAGCTGCAGAGTTGCATGTTGTAGCTGCAGAGTTGCATGTTGTAGCGTCAGAGTTGAATGTTGTATCTGCAGAGTTGCATGTTGTATCTGCAGAGTTGCATGTTGGAGCGACAGAGTTGCATGTTGTAGCTGCAGAGTTGCATGTTGTATCTGCAGAGTTGCATGTTGGAGCGACAGAGTTGCATGTTGTAGCTGCAGAGTTGCATGTTGTAGCGGCAGAGTTGCATGTTGGAGCGACAGATTTGCATGTTGTAGCTGCAGAGTTGCATGTTGTAGCGGCAGAGTTGCATGTTGGAGCGACAGAGTTGCATGTTGTAGCTGCAGAGTTGCATGTTGTAGCGGCAGAGTTGCATGTTGGAGCGACAGAGTTTCATGTTGTAGCTGCAGAGTTGCATGTTGTAGCGGCAGAGTTGCATGTTGGAGCGACAGAGTTGCATGTTGTAGCTGCAGAGTTGCATGTTGGAGCGACAGAGTTGCATGTTGTAGCTTGTTACAGCCCTTAACGCCATGGAATGGTTCTTTGCCTGCAGTGATCAACTATATGTGTTTCGGCCTCATCTTAAATTTACGTCTAGGGAATAGTAATATATAAAAAGGGTATTAAAAGTGAAACACTGCTTTAAAAGGGGCAATAAATATACTGTGCATAAGAGTGAAAAATATATCAACATATAAATGGTAAAAATATAACAGCCAGAAATATTCTTCAGCATGCAATAATATCATAAAATCCTCACTGAGCACAGACAATCATCTTCAACACATGAATTAATAAATGAGATATCACTAAATAGTCTTGCCAGGAGAATTAACTAAGTAATAAGCTAAATAAACAATATCCACCGACTTAACTTCCGTACATGTCTCCTCCCCATGCAGCTCACCCGCGCGACTGAATAACATCCCGCCAGCACAGCAGGCGTCCTACCAAAACATCAACTAAGCATCCACATGAACTCCTGTGAAAACTCTACTAACAAAGTGTACTACTAATAACCATTTAATCAGTAATCTTAAGAGTGTATAATACTGTTACGATAATCACACGAATTTATTACATTCAGTAACAGGAAATAATCAAGGTTGAAATATAAACGCTAGCTTGTCACCAAGCCGCAATCTGGACACATCCAAATATGGTCATCCCCCCCAAGGAGAAACCACACTCCCTCCAACAAGAAATAACTTACACAAGCCTATCAAAATAATGCAACTCAGGCATACTACAGCATGCTACAATATACATCATACAATATTATATAAATCATACAATCTTAAATGGAACACAAATGGATACTATACTAATAATAGAACAGAACAGGGAAAAATTATATGCTAGGCATAATTATCATGTTAATGTTAGAATCAATGCTAGATTCGTAACATAGCTGCAGAGTTGCATGTTGTAGCTGCAGAGTTGCATGTTGTAGCGTCAGAGTTGCATGTTGTAGCTGCAGAGTTGCATGTTGTAGCTGCAGAGTTGCATGTTGTAGCTGCAGAGTTGTATGTTGTAGTGGCAGAGTTGCATGTTGTAGCTGCAGAGTTGCATGTTGTAGCTGCAGAGTTGTATGTTGTAGCTGCAGAGTTGTATGCTGTAGCTGCAGAGTTGTGTGCTGTAGCTGCAGAGTTGTATGTTGTAGCTGCAGAGTTGTATGTTGTAGCTGCAGAGTTGTATGTTGTAGCTGCAGAGTTGTATGTTGTAGCTGCAGAGTTGTATGTTGTAGCTGCAGAGTTGTATGTTGTAGCTGCAGAGTTGTATGTTGTAGCTGCAGAGTTGTATGTTGTAGCTGCAGAGTTGTATGCTGTAGCTGCAGAGTTGCATGTTGTAGCTGCAGAGTTGTATGTTGTAGCTGCAGAGTTGTATGTTGCAGCTGCAGAGTTGTATGTTGTAGCTGCAGAGTTGTATGTTGTAGCGGCAGAGTTGTATGCTGTAGCTGCAGAGTTGTATGTTGTAGCTGCAGAGTTGTATGCTGTAGCTGCAGAGTTGTATGTTGTAGCGGCAGAGTTGCAAGTTGTAGCTGCAGAGTTGCATGTTGTAGCTGCAGAGTTGCAAGTTGTAGCTGCAGAGTTGTATGTTGTAGTGGCAGAGTTGTATGTTGTAGCTGCAGAGTTGCATGTTGTAACTGCAGAGTTGCATGTTGTAGCTGCAGAGTTGTATGTTGTAGTGGCAGAGTTGTATGTTGTAGCTGCAGAGTTGCATGTTGTAGCTGCAGAGTTGCATGTTGTAGCTGCAGAGTTGCAAGTTGTAGCTGTAAAGTTGCATGTTGTAGCTGCAGAGTTGCAAGTTGTAGCTGCAGAGTTGTATGTTGT